TTTGGTAATTGTGTTTTTCCAGGAAATGTCTACTCCATCTAAATTTTTTTAAAAAGATTTTTAAATTTATCTTAGAGCAAGAGAACAGGGGGAGGGGTAGGAGAGAGGGAGAGATAGTCCCAAGCAGACTTCATGCCAAGCTAAGAGCTGACTCTAGGCTTGATCTCACAACCCCAGCCAAAACCAAGAGTTGGACGCTTAATCAACTGCACCACCAATGTGCCCCTCCATCTAAATTTTTAAATTTATTCACATCATTGGGTATATTTTTAATATCACTAAGAATTATAGCAATGTCCCCTTTTGTGTTCCTGATATTGGTAAGCTGTGCTTCTTCTTTTTCTTGAATAGTCTTGCTACAGATGTATTAATTTTAAATATTTTTTTAAAGATTTTATTTATTTATTTGACAGAGAGAGATCACAAGTAGGCAGAGAGAGAGAGAGAGGAAGGGAAGCAGGCTCCCTGCTGAGCAGAGAGCCTGATGTGGGGCTTGATCCCAGGACTCTGGGATCATGACCTGAGCCGAAGGCAGAGGTTTTAACTCACTGAGCCACCCAGGCGCCCCTGGATGTATTAATTTTATTAATTTTATTAGTCTCTTCAAAGAACCAACTTTTGGGGTTTTCTTATTTTTTCGTATTAGATATACTTTAATTTATGCCAGCTAATACCTTCATTATTTTCTTTCTGCTTTTATTGAACTATTGTTTTTCATTTCTTGAAATGGATACCCACTGCTGTTCATTATTTCTTACAACCTAATCTTAGAATTTAAGTGACTTGCCTAAGGTCATATAGCAATAGAACTAGAAGAAGAGTCTGGGACTGTTAACCCAGACCCATGTTTTGTACTCTTCATCATGATGACTTTTGTTTTCCTAGGAGAGGAAGAATAAAAAATATTAATATTCATTGAGCAGTTAGTATGTTCAGGCACTGTTCTAAATATTTGACATGTGGTACTATCTTTTAAGCCTCTGAATTACATATAAACTAAATAAGACAATTTTTTTTTAAGTTTTTTTCCAAATGTCTTTTTTTTTTCCTCTGTCTGCTGTCTTCTCAGTACAAGAATTAGAAACAGGTCTACGGAAACTCTTTTTCCCTCCTTTTCCTGGCTCCTTCTCTATTCATCTTTAAGAAAGAGACTTTTCCCTTTTAGGCCCTCCTTTTTATTTATATATACATATATATATGTACACATATATATATAGATACATAAACATCTCTCTCTATATATATCTATAAAATATAAGCGACATCTGCTTCACCAGCTGAGAAGCTAAAACCGGTTCAGATTCCAGTTTATACGTTAGAGTGGTAAGTCCCAAGGATAGCTAATAATGATGACAAAGATTTTTCAGCTTATACTTTTTTGCACTTTTTCCTTTTCAAACCATTTCCATATATTCCTATTTAGTACCAAGAACTGAATGAACAAGAAGCATTTAGGAATTCTTGGTTTAATCATGAGGAAACTGGGGCACAAGAAAGTTACATAACATGTTAGGGTCACACAACGAGACGGTTCGTCCACTTGGCGAATAATGGTGCAGTGATTCTTGCCAGGGGAATACATCCATATCATCTTTGGAGCTTTAAAACAAGTACCCAGTCTTCACTTTTAGATACCTCATCTGTCTGTGGTGGACCTGAGCATCGGCTGTGTTTTTGTTGTGTTTTAAGCTCTGCCGCTGATTCGTGTGGGCCCTCTAATAATGGAATCACCGATCTGCTACTTACCTATTATGCCCATACCATACTAGCAGAGATTGTGCTAGTAAGTAACAGGGCTAGACCTAAAATGTAAGGCTTCTTTTATTCAGTGTGGTGGTTTTGAGTTTTACTCTTCATTGATCTAATATATAACTGTTTCAAAGTTTCTGTTGTTTTTAAACAAGAGCAATATAATACTGAAATTAATGGGTCCATAAGATGATCACAGCACTCTTCTTTGTCTAGACATTCAGAATTAGGAAATGATTGAGTTTTTAAAGTTTAAGCGTTCTCTATATATGCACCTAAATCTTGTAATGGCTAACAAGTAAATTCACAAAACCGAAGAGCCAAAATATCTTAAAAAGCCATCACTACCCTCCCCGAAATATACAGAAAAGCATTGGATTATACAATCAAAATGGGTGAATTATATGTTATGTGAATTATATCTCCATAAAGATGTCTAAAATAAATAAGAACACTACCATGATTCTCTGTTGTGATCCATACTTTGTATCTTCTTTTTGAAAAAAGGAAAGAAATTTGCTTCTCTCCAGGGCTCCCAGGTGAAATCTTTCACTTGAATTGCATATCAGTGTGTGCATAATTAATTTTTTCCCAAAGGGTGTTGAAATGATATTAACCCATAACAACAACAAAAAAGAGACTTAGCGGTATGACATTAAAAGTTATTAATATGTAGGGCTTATAAAATATTTTCATAACCATTGAGTATGTATTCCCTAACTTTTCTATAGAGTTAATATCATCTACATTTTACAAACGGTGAAACTTGATGCCTCTAACTGCCAGTTTCCACACTGATACCTATTTTTCCACAGACGGTACAGATTGCCAGGGCTAGGAATACCAAAGACATAAATCATTTGGCTCTGCAGTATTAGTATTGGATTAAAACCAAATGCAAGTGGCAAAATAACACATGGTGAAAGCATGGGCTATGTTTCTATGATGCCAGGCAGAGTTGAATTAATTCTTTGAGAGGAGGTGTGAATACACATGTATAATGATAGTTTAACACAAGTGTGAGCAAAATATTTTGTCACATTCCCCTGTGTTGTTAGATTTGGTCTGCCATCTGCCATTCTTGCACTGAGTAGCTGAGAGCACCAGCACCCATGAGTAGCAAGGACTTGCAAGAGGCCACAGAATTTTCATTGGAAGATAGACGATTCCTTTGTTTCTCCGGTTTTCCCTGTGTATACTTTGAGAAGTGATTTCTTTCACTGGAGATTATTACTGGGAAATGAGCATTTTTTCCTTGGAGTTGTATATGTGAAGTAGTTGTGAATTCCGATTTTTTGTCTGTTCTGATTCATGGAATTCCTTTTTTTTAGCTAATATTTACTACTTATAAATCTAAATTTATCAAGATAAATTCAGAGTTGTCTCGGTGGTTCAGTCAGTTAAGCATCAGACTCTTGATTTTGGCTCAGGTCATGATCTCAGGGTCGTGAGGGGGAGCGTCACTTCATGTCGGGCATAGCTCCTGGTTGAGATTCTCTGTGAAGAGTCTTCTTAAAATTCTCTCTCTCCCTTTCCCTCTGCCCCTCCCCCCACTCAGACACATTCTCTCTCTCTCAAAAAGAAAGATAATAAAATAAAATCTTTTTTTAAAAAGAAGGGAAATTCAGTATGTTCAGTGTAAGAAGGCAAGAAAGCATACAATAAAAGTTGTAAGGATTTCCATGCAAAATAATTAAAATTTAAAAATCGCAGTTCATGAAAGGATAATGACCTGTTATCAGAAATATTAAATCACGTGGAGAAGCACGTGGGTGGCTCAGTCAGTTAAGCATCCAACTAGATCTCATCTCAGGTCTTGATCTCAGGGTCGTGAGTTCAAGCCCCAGAAGTTGGGCTCCATGCTGGGTGTGGAGTCTACTTAAAAATAAATAAGTAAAAATCATGTGGAGACACACTGCATTTCTAGACACTGCCAGATAAGTCAGGCTACTACAAAGTATGTATATGGTGTTTTTTAGTCCCTGAAAGAATGAAGATAAAAATCATAAAAAGAGTATGAGTAATTGTTTTTGAAGTAAGCATCCTAAACTTAGCTGCCTAATAGTCCAACCCAAAACAACTATTAACTTTGAAAGATAAAGCTTTTGTTCTAAGCCTCTATTGCATATTATCTCTAGAACAGTATCTATACAGCCTTTTCCCTAAGTCAGGGTTCCTCAAGCTCAGGAACCTTGGCTAGTACTCCCTCCTGCTTCTTTCCCCAGTTGCGGCAATCAAAAATATCTCCAGACATTCCTAAATATCGTCTGAGGGACAAAATCATTCCTGGTTGAGAACCACTGCCCTAGATATATCAGAGAAGAGGAGCTGTAACACAAATTGATAATATTCTGAGAGGGTAGGAGAGAACTCAAAAGTTTTTTATTTTAAAGGACTAAAGGCCAAAGGTTTTGAATTCGTATTATTTTAACCAAATGACTTATTAAAAGGGAAAGTATCTGGTTCAAAGGTTTGCCCTTAAACATCAAAAAGTATGCGTATGTTACAAGATCAGTTTATCAAGTTATTTTGTAATCATTCCAAGCAGGCTTAACAGAAGAAGTCAGACTTGATCCTTTTTCCTAGAACATAGTTTTTAGTTTCCTAAAATGACCTATAAATAAATGGATGTGTATTTCAATACAGCTTCATGAAAGAAGTCAGACTTAATTAGCCTCTTTTTTTCTCCATAGACTACATTGCAGTTTCTTTTTTTTTTTTAAGATTTATATTTATTTATTTATTTTTGTTTTAAAGATTTTATTTGAGAAAAAGAGCATGAGCAGGGGGAAGGGCAGAGGGAGAGAGAGAAGCAGACTCCCCGCTGAGCAGGGAGCCCGATGCAGGACTTGATCCCCAGACCCCCAGGATCATGACCTGAGCTGAAGGCAGATGCCTAACCCACTGAGCCACCCAGGCACCCTTACATTGCAGGTTCTTGAAACTAACAGAGTACAAGGTTAAACAATCTTGCTAACTTTTTAATAAAAAGAGTTTTTATTTTCTTTTCGTATTTGGATCTGCTCCGCCCTCTTATGGAACATAATAGCATAGTTTAGCTTCTCTGTTTTAGCTTTTTTAATGCCATCAGTAACCTGGCAGAGCACTAATGATTTATTTTTTAACTTCTGTGTGATAGCCCACCGGACACTGTGTCCTGGATTCACAATTATTTTACGTGGTGACTCTGAATGAAGTAGTATAGTGACTCTTGCCTTCACTTATCCTTCCCTTTTCCCTTTCTCACGTAGCAGCGGCTGTCGATTCAGACCGAAGTCCCCGGCCCACCTCTGCACCCGCCATTGCTCAGAGTCAGGACACAGAGGTTTCTAAAGCACAGAAGGAAACAGTGAAGGTTGAAGAGCAAAAGGAAGAAGTGACACCCGGGCAGGCTGAACCGGAACCCACAGAAGCGTGGAAGGTATGTCATAAATCCAAATATCTGGCTAGTTCACTTTCTGGTTTAGACATGTTAACTCCTTGGCCAGGAAGGTTTTCAAAGCATTGATTCTTGTAGAGTTCTAACAAAGTTATTTCTTCTTTACTCTTTCTAAAAGAAAGTATTCCCCATGAACCTATAAAATATTTTCATAGAATTATGTCATGAAGACTAAACCATCCGAGAAGTTTTCAGGTGACCTACCTATACAGTTACCTAACTTATATCTTAAAAAAAAAAGAGCCTATAAAGCACATCAGCACTGTGATCATCTGCTTTTAAAAATAATTTTTACTCATCCAGAAGGAATCTCCACATTCCTTTTTAAAAGTAAGTTCTGCTAATAGGATTATAATATAATTTGATTTCCTAAGATAAATATATGAGCAACATACCCGGAGAATATCCCAATTAGTATTACATAAAGCACTTCTATGCGGTTGTTCAAATCAAATTATTTGCGAAAGGCAAAGATTCTTATGTAGGATCTGAGTTGCTTATAGTTCTGCGTTGATTGTACCGCAGTCTCTGATCTTGTTGAAAAATCACCAATTAGCAGGTTTCCCAGGACTAACAGTAGCTGGACTGATCTTCTATGTGTTGATTAGCCTTTTAAGCACATTTAGGCTGTGATGTAGTTGAGATGTTCAGAATTACTGACATAAACACAAGTATCACTGTTGACAACAGGAATTACTAGAGGCAGTGCTTTTTTTAAAAATTACGTTGTTATATGTCTGTTAAGAAAGTTAAAGCCAAAAAAATTTTTTTAACCATGGAAGACCTTAGTAAGTGCTCTTATCTTGGCAGATGAGTTAATCCTGTTCTTCTGGACCCAGTTCAGTGTCTAGTTTATCTGTAGAGCAGTGGCCAATTTGGCTTTGTTTTGACTGTATTAAAACAAAACAAAACTATTCTACATGACATGCCATTTTTACTGTCTTTTGAGACCAACTTGAGTCTAAAGAGAGAAAAAAAATTGAGCAAATGGTAGATATTTGCCTTTTTTTTTTTTTTTAACCTAGCCAGATGTGTATGACACTGGCCATCAGGTTCAGTATCAACAGTGCCTTTTTAAGGTTAGACTACCTCAGTTTTTAACGTTAGGCTATCTCATCTGGCACTTTTGACGATTCCTCCATTTGTTGTACTAACTGGAAAGTGTTGGATTATTGGAGTTGGCAAAGGAATCTTTTTGAGTGTCTAAGATTCCTTTGGTGTTTTGCTAACATACTTGTTCTTTTTTTTTTTTTTTAAAGATTTTATGTATTTATTTGAGAGAGAGAGAGAGAGAGTGAGCAAGCATGACTGGGTGGCAGAGGGAGAAGCAGGCTCCCTGCTGAGCAGGGAGCCCAAAGTGGGGCTGGATCCCAGGACCTTGAGATAATGACCCAAGCCAAAGGCAGGTGCTTAATTGACTGAGCCACCCAGATGCCCCCATACTTGTTCTTTGGCCTGTAAGTCAGACACAGGTATCAAGAATAGGTTCCTGTTGCTCTTGGGACCTGATAGAGGGGAGAGATCACTTCCTGGTCTATGCTTCCCATTCAAGTGCCAGTAGGTGGTTTTCTTGCTGATTAATTCTGTGTATGTATATGTCTTGAGATACTTACATAAAGATCAAACTAAAAACCACCTCTGATAACCTTCTATTACTGTAATAGTAGGGACAGAATTAAGGATGACTCTGAGTTGATTTTATTTGTAACAACAGAAAATAATTATGGAGTTTACCTGAAGCCATAGTTATTATATAAAGCAATAGTGTAATAAAATAACCTTGTAACACTATATAAATTTCATTAGCTAACATGAATTTGGTGCCAGATAGAAGTAGCTTTTTGCATCTTGAGTCATTTGACTTACTTTGCAGGTGTGGAATAGTAACTCGCCCCTATGCACACCTTTATCTCATTTAATGTTCTCTGAAGGGGCTTGACTATCTTTGCTACTTGGCCTCCACTTTTAGACTGAAGTAGAGGCTCTCACTTTGTTGCTGTTAGAAAAAAGCAAAAGGTCATTATTCATTGAAACAAGTAATTTAAGCTTTACAAAATGATTTTTTGTAAAAAAATTTTTAATATATTTTTTTATTTGACAGAGAGAGAGAGAGAGACAACAAGAGAGGGGATACAAACAGGGGGAGTGGGAGAGGGAGAAACAAGCTTCCCGCTGAGCAGGGAGCCCAATGCGGGGCTCAATCCCAGGACCTCCTGGGATCATGACCTGAGCTCAAGGCAGTCGCTCAATGACTGAGCCATCCAAGTGCCCCTGCAAAATAATTTAAAACTGCTATTTGTTAAACATTCACTACTTTGTGGGTATATTGTTTCTACTTTTTCAATAAAAAACTTAGGTGAAATAACTTGCTAATGACCACACATCAAATATAATGGGATTCATAGTAGAAATGACACAAATTATCTGTTATCCTGGTAATTAAAAGTACTGTAGCTGGATGTGCTTATGATTTGACAGTATCACGAAATTTGGTGTTATGTTCTCTACATTCTGTCCTAGGGAAAATAGCACAATGACATTATACTCCAAGGTAATGCTGCCAAGTGTGATTAAAAAGAACGTGTCAAAACCACAGATTGGTGAGGTTCTATAAAGAAGTTCATGATACAAAGTGACTGATTTGATCCTTAATAAAAATTTTTCTAATTTTGAAATACCTACTGCTTTAGGCATTGCTCACTCTAAAACGCTTCCTCTTAATAGTCTGTTTGGGTTTCTTAAATTTATACTTGCTCCATTTGGGGTCTATAAAATGACTATTACTAAAGGTATTTCAAAGCTAGGCGGGAGGCCGCAGTTATTCTCTTCCTACTATTAAGGATGAATCTTATTTATCCACCAAACACAAGGGCTCCTGCTCCCTGGAGAGGAGATTACAGATTGCTGAATGTTGCAGCTGAGCCCTATGTGTGCTTATTTATAAATCAGCCTTGGAAGTAATTGCATGCATCAGTAACAATTTGAATTGAGTTTATTTTGATGTTTTGTTGCCTAATAAACTCAAGGTGAAAGTGCCTCCTTAAATATATTGATCAATTAACAATTTTTTTTGTATTTACGTTTTTTGTGTCATATGTGGTTTATTATATGTGTGCTTTAACTGTAAAGATTTTCTTTTTGTTTTTGTCATGTATGTCCTACCTTGCTATCTTCATTTGTAAATTCGTTTTTAAATGTTAAAGTACTTCTAGATCATTAAAAAAAAAAGCCAAAACAAAAACACATGCCTTATTTAAGCCCAAATTGTTTTTTGGATAAGTACTTTTTTATCAATTAAGTGTAAAAATGTTTTCTTCGTTGATGGAATAATTATCGTAATTTTCTTTTACTATCATTTGGCTGTCCAAATTACCTCTTCAGCCTTGAAAATATGATGGTGAACTAACAGATGACCATTGAAGAGTAATGTCCTTTCCTGTCACACCCCCATAAGACTGCATCATGTTGATCACGTATCAGCTTATTTTGCAACCAGCTTAAAGATGCGGCTTATTTGGAAATAATGCTACTCATAGAAACCTACTAACCTAAAATGTTTTTACCACTTTATTTCTTAAATGTAGGTGGAAAAAACCCACATCGAGGTCACAGTACCCACCTCAAATGGTGACCAAACACAGGTTTGTGCCAACAGGCCACTTATACCTTTTCTCCTCCCTCCTGAATTTTTTTTCTTCTCCCCAACTCCCTTCCCTTAAAAAATATTATAAAGGTTCAAACAAACTTCATTGAGCCAATATTTTATCATTTTTCTTTTTTTTTTTTTTTTAATAATGGCAATACAGAAGCTTGCAGAAAAAACTGAAGATCTGATAAGAATGAGGAAGGTCAGCCATTTTTCACTTTCACAAAACTGCATTATCATCACCCATGCTGACTTCTACAGTGAATTAAAAAGACAGTGATCCATTCTTTTCATTGATTTCTCTTCATCAGAAATTGTTTTCAAATCGCAGATATATATTTGCGCACATATATATTTGTATACACTCACATACATGTGTATAGCGAAGAAATTATAATCCTATACTAGTTGTTGAAATTTTTCATTAAAATAAACCTCCCAGGAGGAAAATGCCTTTTTAAAAACAGTGAAGTAACTAGTGAAGACCAAAACTATCCTTCATATTTAAACTTGATAAGAAATATTTCAGTGGCATCATATTCTTGGAAACATGGACAATATTTGATACATACTTACTGTGAAAACCATCATAGCAGCAACTCCTGGCATTGTTCATAACTGTGTGTTTTGCTGCTCTGTGCCCGTTCTTCCCAAATATAGAGTGGGATATATCAGTCCTTACTGAAGAGAATATTGACTAATCGTGTATAAAGTGCCCTTAGATCTTTCTTATGAAAGATATTAGAGATATACCTACTGTGGTATTACTAATTATGAACTATGTCTCAGGAAGGTAAATAACATTTTACAGCATTTCTCCATGCTGTGGAACATGGGATTTCAAAGCTTCTTAAAGTCATGCACTTTAAGATAACTCTCAAACAGTTGAATTTCAAAAATGAGCATAAAACAGCTTACTATGTAAGAAGCCAATGAAGCCAGGAGCACTGTCTATTTAAATAAGGTCATCACGTTCTTCCATCACTCATGAATAGGGTCATCCGTTTTCTAGTGGTAATGTGTTCTGTGTGTGTCCTTGTAGTTTTGTGACCATTTCATGTTGGCATATGCTGCGCTGTGGACATCTAATTTTTTTGGTTTGCCAATTTGCAGTTTTTTCCCGCAAGAACAACATTTTAATTTTTTATGCTTTTCTGTTTTTCCCTCTTTCATTTTCACAGAAAAAGAGAGAGAGACTAGATGGTGAAAACATTTATATCAGACATAGCAATTTAATGTTGGAGGTTTGTATGAACTTGAAGCTTATTTCAGTTGGTTGCCTATACCTTCTGCATTCTTTGCAATCACCCCTTTCTTTATGCTGCGTTTGGTTTTGCATGCCATTGCATGAAAGAATTTTAGGTTTAAAATGCTTTTGCATGTTGGTAAACATGAAGATATGCAACCATCTCTCCTTCTGACTCTTTAGTTTCCATCTGTCATTCTTATCTAAAAAATATATGATTGGGACTACCTCTGCTTCTTGCGGTTCCATTGTCGTACCGACTTGTAGAAAATTCAATATCACTGTCAAAAACTCCTTGAATTTTCCAAGAGTATAAACTCCTGTGTGTCCCAGGCATCAAATTTGTAGTATAGTTTTCATCTTCTGAACTAAGTATGGAAAAGTAGGAAAAATGATCCCAATTCAAAAATGGACTTAAAAATTGGAGATATCAAAAAATGACAGGACAGTCAGGAAAGAAAAAAGATATAGGAAGGAAAGAGGGGACCTGGTATTTAATCTGTAGTTAATATAAGATAGTTTAATTACAAAAACAGGTCTGTGGGCATAAGATGATTAATTTAAAGATAAGAAAATTGAGCCTTAGAGAAATTTAATTTGCCTGTGGTCAAAAAGCCAGTAAATTGGTAAAGCTAGGTTTTGAGTTAGGGTCTATCTATCTATCACTATTAAACTTCGTTTTTTCCATTCAGAAATAGCAACATACTGTCTACTCTAGGAATTGTAAGGTCATTTTCTCATTACATTCAACAATGATTTGCTTTTTACCTGAGTTGTATTTGTATACTTAGCTAGTTTGGAACTCCACCTTGAACAGGGAAATATGAAACTAATTAGAAGAGTAGGGGAACTCTATGAGGAAAAAGTAGAGAACGTGGAGTTATCTATATGGAAAACACTGAGGCTACATTAGTTTACACCACACAAAGACTCATATATAAAAGTTGACCAGATTATTTTACGATTTTGCTCAAGACAGAGCCAAAAGAGATGAATATAACTCTGATACTGGGGATTTAACTTAAACTTGAAGGAAACATAAATACAGAGGAAGATGATAAACATTGTTTCTGCCTTCAGGAAACTTAACAATGTGTAGAAGTAGGGAGGAAAGAAACAATAAACAGGTAAAAAATAGCGATAAAATGATACCAAGTTATTATGGAAGCTGTGACAGAAATAAGTGGTATGCTGTGCTAAGAAAGGAAATCTCTGAATAAGATGGGAAGTCTCTTTGGAGAGAGAACATACTAGCTGAGACCTGAATGATGAACATACAAGAAATGTACTAAATAGTATTAAACTGGAAATCTGAAGAAACTTTAAAATAGATCTCTGGTTTAATATAATAACCTCTAATAGTTACTTAACTTTGTCCTATTTTCTGTCAAAACATACATTTTGAGTGCTTGCAAAGTATAGGGTACTTTAATAAAAGTAATAAAAATTTTGGCCAGCCTTCATTAATCACATACTGTGCGATGGGCACAATACCAAATACTTTATGTACATTTACCTCATGTAACATGAAGTTTTTTAAGGCTGGACTCTAGGATATTTCAAACTCGGCAGCTAGATCTCTGCTTGATTTCATAACTAAAACTAGACATGAATGGTTCTGCTTCTGGGATTAGAAAGAATTACAGAGGTCAGATGATGTCCTTGTCCTTGACAATGTAACATCTCCCAATCCCAAACATGCCTTTTTCTTCACTAGTCCATCTTTAGTGCTTCCTTTTGACTGGAACCTGCAGTACCAATCATATATTTGTCATGTGTTCAATGAGGTGTGTTATGGCTTCTGAGACTCACAGAGTCTCTGTGTGTGATGTGTTTTTTCTCCCCAACATTGCACTGGTAGCAACAAGAGGGGATTTCTAAATAAGTGTGCGTTTGAAAATTAAAACTACTAACTACTTTTTGAGAACATTTTATATTTAATGGTTCGGTTTGGCTGCTGCTAAAATTATAAGATGATAAGTATCAACAAGTATCTAGCCTAAAAGCAGCCAAAGTAGTTTGGCTAACCATCATTCTCTAGTTACAGTAAAAGAAAAAAAATTTCAAAAATTGTCTCCCTTCCACCCCATAAGGATGTTCTCTCAAGTTATCTGTCACTCTAGCAGGTGGTGGTTTTTTTTTTTTTTTTTTTTTTTTTTTTGTAAAGCATCTCTCCTACCCCACCCCCACTAATGCTTTGTTCTGGCCAAATAAGGTCGAGTTCATTTTTAGATCTACCGCCTCCTCCTCCATCTCCCAGAGAGAACCTGTAGCAAGTGTCTATGACAAATTCTATTTGGAACAGGTCCCTTTGAGATCTTAATTTTACTCTGTGCCCCCACAGGTTTCTAACAGAGCCTGCTAAGAAGGATGGAGAAAGCTCCTTCAGAAGCTACTGATTTTATTGAAATATTTATTTTCTCAGGTTCCAAGCCAATCAAAAGCTAGGCAAGAAGAGTAACAAATCACCACTCTCATATTAAAAGGCAAATATAGAGAGTTATGGTTTTACCATAGCATCTTGCTCATTTTTGTTTTGTTCCATTCATACTTTAACTCTCCCAAATGTGTTAAGTTGTTCTTGGACCAAGCAGATTTAATTTCCAGTTAGGAGCGGGTCACAGGGACTTACATACCTTGTGGGTCTCAGTTGCTCAACCTACTACTGGGTCTTTGACCAAGCTTGTTCGTGCTTTTCTTTAGCTAGTAAACATGCTTTTCTTGCTTTCAGCTAGAATAAAAGTGCACACTGTTGTTTCCTCATGGTGAAGCCCATATTCATGGGGTATACTCACATTTCGTCCCAACAAGCAAGAGGTAATTTTATGGGGAAGCTACAGGATTGTCCATTTTGGATTTAGTTTTCTCTTTGATCTCAAAGCAAATATACATGGTTTAGTCTTGCAAAAATAAAAAGAACAGATTAGTAAGTGAATTTTCTGAATGAATATCTCCAGAATCAAAATTATGTCGTGTGCCTCACCAATTCTTTTTCCTATGCTATTTTCCCTTTGACATTGCTTTTGAAAAAATTTCATTTAGTTGAAGCATGCGTGGCTCCAGAAAATTTTTTGAAATTTTTATTTAAATTAGTTCCAATTTTTCCCCCCAAATGTGGTGGTTTTCCACAGAAGAAAGAAAGAAAGAAAGAAAGAAAGAAAGAAAGAAAGAAAGAAAGAAAGAAAGAAAGGAGGCTAATCTCAAAATTTGTACAGCATATTAAAAGATATATTTAATATTGTGCTTTTCTTGGATACAGAGCTGCCGTGATATATAATAAACACAGAATTTTTAGCATTCATCAAGTGACAGGCTCCCACATATTTTGATCTCAAGCACGGATCTGAGCTTTTTTGGAGAAGTATGTTGGACAAAGAACATTTCAGTTTTTGTCTTTAAATTGTATTTCCCATTTTATTTCTGGCCAAGTCTGCTTTTTGAAAGTTTTATTTGCCTCCTGTTACATAAACCTGAATGTTATTTCTAGTTTTATTAACCTTTGTTTTGATCCTTTCTCCCTGGAATATCCCATTTAAGGGATATTAAACCTAGTTGTCCACTATCCAATTCTGCTGGAACAGTTGAGATATTTTTTAAACTGTTGAGGAGATATATAAGGTATTTGATGAATTCTTATTAAATTACTTCCAATCCATTGAAAGTTACTGGAAGAAGGTCCCTCTTTTGAATTCCACTAAGGGATGAAGTAAAGCTGTCAGAAGCTGGAAGGCATAAGGCTTTTTTTTTTTTTTTTTTTTAAAGATTTTATTTATTTACTTGAGAGAGAAAGCACAGGGGGAGAGGGAGGAAACAGACCCCCGCTGAGCAGGGAGCTGGATTTAACTAAAAGCACGAATAGGGGGTGCTTGGGTGGCTCAGTGGGTTAAAGCCTCTGCCTTCGGCTCAGGTCATGATCCCAGGGTCCTGGGATCGAGCCCCACATCGGGCTCTCGGCAGGGAGCCTGCTTCCTCCTCTCTCTCTCTCTGCCTGTCTCTCTGCTTACTTGTGATCTCTTTCTGTCAAATAAACAAATAAAATCTTAAAAAAAAAAAGCACAAATAGTATTGGTAAAGAAAAAAAACCCATCATATCACACACCTGAGTGATTTTTCATAGATAATAACAATTTGCTCTCAAGGCTTGGCCAGGAATTCTAGTGATAAATTCTTATAACAAGAAAGGGCTGTTCCTGTTCATCAAAACCAGTAATACCACCTAGTAATAAGGAAGCAGAATTATCTCCAGGTATAAACAGAGGGATGCTGTATGATTGCAACTCACCAAAACAAAGCAACCAATGGTGGCAGTTGCATCTTTTATCATGTCTTTTGTTTAATAGCTGCTCCTTATCTACTGCTATCTCCATCTTGCCTGAGCTGAGCCTCAATCAGTTCTTATCAAGACAGGGCTAACTGATCTGTGATATCACCCTCTTGGGATGAGGAGTTGGAGATCTAGCGCTGTGTTGTAATGGGAAGAAAAGTTGCAAAATTAAGGAGTGAGGTCTGTGGGTTACAAAACTGCTAAGAGTTGTAGGGTTATGATGCTTCACTGCTTCCAAGAAAAGCACCTAATTAAAAAAAAAAAGAATACTAAAAAAAAAAAAGCAAGCAAATATACCATGTTGTATATTTAAAATTTGAATGCAATTTATGGATTAGTAACATCTGCCCTGGATGTGGTGTGTTTTCTGCCAGTGCCCATATAGTCTAGTGGGCTTCCCCTGATGTGTTTTTTTCCTCTGAGTATTTATTATTTTGCATGTTTGTCCTTTTCAACTGTAGGATTTAGACAAAAGTCAAGAAGAGATAAAAAAACATCATGCCAGCATCAGTGAGCTGAAAAAGAACTTCATGGAATCTGTACCAGAACCACGGCCTAGTGAATGGGATAAACGCTTATCCACTCACTCCCCATTCCGAACACTTAACATCAACGGGCAGCTTCCTACAGGAGAAGGAGTGAGTACTTCATCCACGTGACCACTTGTGAGAATGAATGAAATAAACATTATTGTCTATTAAATGTTCTGCATATAAGTAAAGTAAGGTTAGAGCTGAAATTTAGCTTTGGTTCCTCACCAGTTCATTGCAGCTTTAAGGCATTCATAATCAAACACTTGTTGTTAAGTCATATGGGCCATCCAGTCGAATTATAGGAGCCGTTTAGAGCTACCATTAGATGACTAGGCTCTTGAGAACTGCCTCCTTCTGGCTAGTGTGTATTTACAAATTGACCATAAGCCAGTGGAACTTTGTGTTCAAACTGTGCCTCCAAGGACCAGAGAATTTACTAAATTTAGTAAGGTCAGAATTGGAACAGGATAAACATTTTTTTAAACTTTATTTGAACATTTGCACAACTGAGAAATGTCTGGAATGGTTGACCACAATTATATAATAAACCAAGGAGGCCTCTAAGCCAGAGAATGCAGAACACCACACATTAATGATATTTCAATTTTAGAAAAATTATTGACAGTTCATCTTTATGAGCAGCTTCAAACTTTTAATATGTTGTTTTGTAAGATAGTCACAGTTAGAAAAAGTTGGAGATACCTTTCAGGCTGTTTTTTGTGTGTGTGTGTGTGTGTGCTGTTGTCATTACCTGTCATAGAAATCCTACGTCTGACTAAATGAATCTGTGTGATGAAATATCTTAAAAGTTACCTTAAGCATATATTTAAAAATTCTTAATCTTTAGCTTATACAGGTTAATATTTATATAAGTAGTCACAATGATTTAATGAGTGATGATAATAATTTTTAAAATTATATTCCTGGTTTTCACCAATAGCAACAGCAATTCTAGTCAAGAAAGGTAGTGATGACTTAATAATGTTAAAAAAAAAAAAAAAACCTTGTTTTTAAATTGAGAATTCATGGTAAACTATTCAACTTTGTTTAGTTTCTGGAACTGGAGAAGATGATAAAAGTTGACTCGCAGAGGGGACTTTTTATCTTTTTCAAAATGTGATTGAAATTGGCCAAGAGTTCTCCAAGTAGAGTCAGACCAGTTTCACCAAGTAAGACTGGAGAATTCCTGAATGATGGGTAGCTAGTTACCGGGGGTGACAGGATGCTGTTGTTTCTATTCTCCATCCTCTTCAGCCTCCATTCCCTGATGTAAATGGACATCAGTTTTAGATTCTAAATCTAGATAATGTAGCCTAAACTGAGACAGTGACTCTGCTTTCTGTAGATCTAGACTTCAGGAGAAACGCCATGTTGCTGTCTTGCCTGGTTAACTGTCTTTCTAAACCATAGCTGCTTATTTTCTAGAAGCTTTCTTTTTGACTCTGTGGAAGTAATAAAAGATGCTCGATTACTTTGAAAAAGTAATTTAATACTCTCTTGGATGAAGTTTGGTAAATTTGAATCAGTCTCCATTTCCAGAAAATATCTTCTATCTTAATAGAAACCTTCCAGAAATCATCTCAGGGCTGGTTGGAAATGGGTATGTCATTCTGTGGACTTTAAAGAAAGGACTTTTATAAATGAGATTGGTGGGGAGTACTTGAGCCACTTTAGCTCTGTGCTTCTGTATATTACTCCTCTAAATGAATAACAGAATAAGTAAGAAGAACTGTCCTATGATAACCTTTTTTAAAGGATAACTCCACTTTCTGGCATATCTTACTTTTTCTTCAATGATGAGGGCAGTATTTCTGTTCTCTGGGGATACCTCTTCCGACTTTGGCAGCATTGTTGTCGTGTTGCAAGGCTACTGAATTTTATATAATTTGTGTATGACCAGGTGAAGAAAACCTCTGTCCTTCCCTCGGAAAGAAAGGTTGGTGGGCCAGAGGTAAAGCTGCTGTTATGACTCGTGCTTCTCAATCCGAATTTGCTCTTGTCATGGCACTAAGCAGATACTCCCCCAGAACCGAACAGCAGCTGCTGAGTAATTTTGTTTCTTTTGGCTCTACTAGTAAATTCACACTCCACTGCCTTTTGACCTAACACATAACATTTCCATGGCTGCAGCTTTTGCAGCTTTCAATTTGCTTATTTCGGCGCATGGCTGGTTGAAAAGCTGCATGAAGATGTAAATATGTATTCAGAGAGAAAATGAATTTAATTGTACCCTATTCTTTTTATGTTGTCTTTCTTCTCCCTCCTTATATTCTTTTAAAAATCATTATGATTTTGCATCCTTTCTTTCCTTTTTTCTTTTTTGCTGACCAGTCCCCCAGCTACTTTCTCCCTGATACATATCACTTAGGGGTGTGCAAAGAACCTGTGTCAAAAGTCCAAACTGATCAGAGAAGGCTGGCCCAACTGAGAGAACTTAGAGCCAAGTTTTTCCTTTCATAGATAACATCTCTTGACTAGATGGCAGAGCACAGAAATTGTCGGGGGAGGAAAAACTTCTCAATTGGACATTTGGAAAAGGCAACTTACCTTAGAATTGTCAAAAACTCTGCTTAATGTGATGTATAAACCTTCATGATGGTTGTTACTACTATTATTTTTAATCATGATTCTGCAAGAGGGGGAGGAAGTTTACAGTTGTTGAGATTTGTGGGGTTGTTTTGTTTGTTTTTGGTAGACCTTGGAGGCACATACAAACTTTTATACTTTTGTTTTTCTTTTGCAATCTTTAAAATGTACGGGATTAAGATTTTTATTCCCTTGACAAAAGCTAATTGCTGTTGAACTGTTGCAGTTTTTTAAGTCTATATGAAGGGATATGAGGATAACTTTTTATATTCTGCCATTCTGTTTGTAATAAAACTAACTTTTCTCATGGTGAGAAGAATGCTTCATTATTGGCTTTACCCAAGCGATCTAAGAAAAATTGGCAGCACTAAAACAATGAAAAATGACCAATATTCATATATGAGTATCCTTGAAGGAGGAAAAATACTCTTGCTAAGGAAGTCGAGTAATTGCTTGAACTTTCAAGACTTCTAATGTTCATTCATTCAAAAAATTATCTGTTGAATAACCGACTATGTTATAGAGACTTTGCTGGGACAAATTGCCAAAGTAAAGTAAAATAAAGAGTGTCCCAAAAGATCTTCCCAAATCCTTTGCACATCCCCAAGTATCATTTTTGAGCATTTTTCCATCTGTCATTTTGTTCATCTTTCTCTGTCTTTCTTGATCTTCTACCGTGAAAGCAGACACAGCAACGTGCTCTGTTAGTGCAGAATGAAGAGAAAATTAAAAGGCAAGAGAGATCTACTGAGAGAGCCTTGCCCCAGCAAGACAATGAAGAAATTCTTCCCAAGGTTTCTATTCCAATCCCTGAGGATCACAAGTCTCTCAAAAAGTGCCACCTCTACTCTAGTACTTTTCCATCTCCTCGTATTCCTTTCATGATGTCTTTTCTCGTGATTCTTGCGTTGGCTGTTTGGTGGTTGGTCTTTCTGTGATCGGAAAACAGGGTGCTCATCCGAAATGTCAAGACTAAAACCATTGAACTTTTGTCATTTACTTCTACTGTGTTATCTCCTGTATGATACCCTTTGATCTTCATAGTTCACTGTCCTAGGGGAGCTCTTTTTGATCATTTTTCTGTCAATAAAATGTTACTCTTCGTAGAATATGTATTGTGGGGTACAAAGGAGTAGCAATGGATTGCCCAAGCCAGCTTTTCCTCACTGACGCTTAACAAGTTCAGAGAAAGCAGATATAAGTATGTGACAGTCGGCACTTTCCCCCAAAAGGTTTAACTCTTCTATCCTGCATGTGTGTATTGTTCACTGCTGTTGTGTCCTCTTCTCCACTGTTAACACGCAAAGCAGGATACTCGTAGAAACATTTGATGGAATATTTCCTAATCTTCTATAGTCATTTGTGTGGCATGGGCTCTGTAGTTTAAAAAAAAAATTCAACTTATTAATTTTTCAAAAGCCTTAAAATGATACATTTTAATCTATGAATCCATAACCACTCCTTTTCTTGAGATATCAAACCAGTATATACAAAGGCCTTTTTTGGAAAAGGGCTTTTGACTTCTGTGGCCTTCTTATGTGTATTTCTGAAATGTACAGGGAAAAACATCTTTATCCTGCCTGGTCTATAGAAGGGATCTGCAAAGGTTAAACGCCAGCTTTTCACAAGTAGAATGTTGAAGGTTTAAGGAAAATGGTGCTGTGCTGGTGCCCCCGTAGCCTCCAGCCAGGGCTGAATTTACAGACCACTGTACCCATCTTTAAAAGTCCTAGAATACAGATTTATTCAAGATCTGTACATAAATATACCCTTCTCTGAATTAATACTGTGTTATTTCTTTATGACTTAAGTAATTATATTGCTAGAAGCAATATTTAGCCATTATCACAAGCTTAAAATATATATTGATATATTCTGTTTTCCTGATAGACTTCAGACCTGTTTACTCTTACATTTGTGTTGAAATCAATTGTTTTTGATGGCTTTGTGAGCTAAAGTTCTATCATGACAAGTATGTGTCCCTCTGTTTGCATGTTGATTTTTAAAGCTTCGCTGAAGTAAATATGGGTGTGCTTTGTTTTCACAACACAACTCAGATGTCTAACCTGTTATTTTTTACCTCGGTATTAATGACATCTTGCATGTAGCTTACTTCTTATGGCACTTGGATGTACCAATATGGATGCTTTGGTTAATGTCTCAAATATCTGTTTTGAAATCTGAGTTCATGGGGTTATCAAACTGAGATTTTTGCACTTTGTTTTACTTCTCAACACTTTTAGTTGATGAAACTTCTAAACAAGACCTTTTGTTTTTAAGATGATGGCTTCTTACAGCAAAAAAGAAAGAAAGAAGGAAAGAAAGAAAGAAAGAAAGAATACTAATGCCAAGAATCTTTTGTCCTTCAACACCCACCACAATTCTGTTTTTCTCTGGAGACATGTAGAAATAATTCTCTGGTATTTCCTGAAAACCGCTCTTCTGTCATCATAGGCTTTCCCCCCAAAATGGGAAAAGAAGTAAGGGCGGGTTGAATTTTAAAATCTGTTATGGGTGTG